TCAAAAAACAAAGACAACAAAACAACAACCTAAACCAGGAGGCACTTACAAGGCTCCATGCACTGGAATAGACAGTACAAAAGAACCAGCACTATTCTTGCAGCATTGGCAGCCTAGCCATGGGCTAGGGACTGGGAATTCAGGGTTTGAGCACTGGGCACATGGAAGGCAGAGGGAACATGAAGGCTGGAAAGGTAGGTTGGAGTCCTTTACACACTTCAAGCTACAGAAGTTTGGAACTCATTCTCACAGCCCATTTCTGACGCTTGAGGCCTCTGCAGCTGAGTGCAAAATAATCCCGTGAAAGATGTTCTAAATGAGATATGACTAACTTGGGCTCATTTCTGCAATAGCAGATTTCTCTACATTAAGTACCCATGCTGGATTCAACTCTTCATTTTCAGAAGATCCCTCCTTCCATGTCACTAGCAGAAAGCCATTCAAAGGTGAGTTGTAAACCTAAAATATTGGCCCAAATAGCAGCTACTCCTTACCTGTAAATATTTTCTTTTGCCAAATTAAAATTCCTTCCAAATTTTAAATTATTTTACTTAGCAGAAAAGCAACACAATGATTTTCTCTGGCAATCGATGTCTCCTACTGTCATTACTAAAGTAAATTTTTAACTATTCGATGTTACGCCTTGGAGTGAAAACAGGGTCTAAGTAAATGTAAGTATTTCATAAAGTGAACTGTAAATATTTCAGACATCAGAATCTGGCCCATTATGGGATTCTTAACAGGAAGATTGTGACCAATGATTGGGGGTGGGGAGTAGTGATTAACAATTTATACTGGGACAAATTTTGTACCCCACTTTTGCAGATGTTCTATCTGCACCATATTTAGTGAACCACAAAGCATTGCACACTTGTTTTTATTGCCTGAAAAGCATACAGTTCCTTTTTTGTAGATGGAAATGAGATGCATTTAAAAGAATTGAAATGGACACTGAAATGAGGGAATGGAGTACCTGCTTATTTTCTAAACCACAACTGTTTGGTGTTTCCAGGGCAAGTTTTGCTTATTTGTATTGTTTTGATGGCTGCTTTTCTGGAAGGATGGAGGAGGCAAAGGACCACCACTCTGACTGAAAACTTAAAGGGGCAGTTTTGCACCAAAGGTTCGTTTACTATGGTAACACTTAGTAGGAAAAAATATACTATCATCCAAATGTAAAATCAATGGTGTTGCTAAATAATGTTTTCTAGTTAAATTCAGTAGTTATTCTGTTTTAAAATCATTAACAATTCTTATGACTTAAAAGCCACAAAGTATTAAGTGGATTACTTATTTATGGAGCACAAACTAAATGCTAGGCACTGTGTTGGTACAAGTTCAAACACATTACCCAGCACAAATGCATGAAATTATAATGTCAAGCAAACCCTGAAAGTAGCATGTCTAAATACTAACATTCTTAAAAATAAACACAGATCACATTGTTGTTACAATGGAGCAATACAGTATAATCTCCATGAATACTCATCATGTAAAATGGATACAAATCTGACTTTAAAAATAACAAATATTACTTATAAAGGTTCCTTTAGAAGAAAAGTAAGACTTCATTCTAATGCCATAATTAAAGATGAGTTACTTTCCACCATCTATTTTGACCATATGGATAACAGTTTCATACCTGTTCTTCCAATAACTCCTGCCACAAGATATTGATTTCGTGTAACCTATTCCAGCGTTCCTCAGTCCATCGGCACACTGCTGTCCAACGTTCACCAAGTTTCTAGTAAAGGGAGAAACCACCTTTTGTCAACACAGCTTTAAGAGATAGTTACTATGATTCTCAAAGAAATTCTTGACATCAGTTGTTCTCTATTACAAAGTTTTAAATACATATAATAAAAGTTGCTTTAAAATAAAACAGATGAATCCTATATATTTATAGATGAGAAAAACTAATTTCCATAAATGGTAACTAATTATTTTACACTATAGAGCTAAAAAGAATCACAACTAGAACTCTATCCTGTAACTGTCTTCTCCAAATTCCTGCCCTTTCCATTTTATTGTGGTTTTTATTTGAGAATTTAGCATTTTTACATACATCTTCAAAATAGAGCAAACATCTACTTTTTGTGCTGAAATTGTTTTCAGGCTGTAATTGTCTTTAAAACAAAATACAACACATCAGTAATTTTTAACCACTTTTATATGCCAAGAAAATTTTCATTTGTAATACAGAGTTATGAAAAACTTTTAACCTTATAAAAACTATGTGTTGAATGAGAGAATTTCTATTAAATAATATACTTAATTGATTTTTTTCTGCTTACATCTCATGATCCATAGAAAATTCCACAAAATTTAGCCACAGAATATGTGCAAGTACTAGCAATACTAAATAAATAATTTTGATGACTTTTTAAAAAAAGTATTATTCATGATGTTTCCTAATAAATTATTTTGTTAGCATTGTATAAATAATAACTAACAAATGTTCAACTTATTTCTACATTACTTAAATATGAGCAAGAGTTAATTCATATTATCCTATTTGATATGTAATACCAGAGAACACTTTGGACAGTGCAGCGGGTCGAAGACAGAGTCAGAAGACAGGTCTCATCATGAAAACCCACTGTCTAAATAGGCTAGACACGAATGCCTACCTCTCAGGTTACTGTAATAACTAAGCACTTCTGCACAAAGTCTCGCAACCACTGGCCAACTTTAAATGAAGATACATGTCCGAAAGTTTCCAAATATCATAAACTGGCAACATCATAGCAGATGATTCCAGTATTATTCGAATGAAATACCAATCAATCTCTTTGTAAAGACTTTACACTATAACCTTTGTGAGAAAAGAAGCAATCTGTTGGGGTTCCCAAAACTGCTACTGAAATTCACACATTGGTCCAACCAAAGAAACAGGATATGAAATCCTACATGGCTGAAATTCTCAAATGTTAATATGCCTACACTTTTTTTTTTAAAGTGCAAATCCACTGAGCCCCACTCCCAGGAATTCAGGTCTGCATGGAGCCCAGAAATCTATATTTCAGCAAATTCCTCAAGTGATTCTGAGCAAGAAGCCTGTGGGCCACTTGTCGAAATCGGTTCCTGTGCTTCCCAACCTTGTTACTATTGCACACAAGACACCCCGCCCATTCATCCCAAGGGCTGATGTAAAGGAATAGTACCGAGGTACTCCTGTAACCCATATGCTGTGGAACCCCACCTGGGAAGGACAGTCTAAAGTAGGTTCATCTACTCTTCTACATAAACAGTGTGATGAGATGTAAAAAAATAAGGGTACATGGAATTGGGTCTCAGACCACAGGCCCCTTGGGGTCACCCTCCTCCTCAGGGTCCTTACCTGTAGCTGATCTTCCAGGACAGCTGTGGCACTCTCACCGCTGTTTTCATCAACAATCACCACCATGTGCGTTAATGAATTTACCTTCACCTGCTCAGCCTCAAGATCATTTTGCAAGCTCTAGAGAAAAAAAATTAAGATATACCATTATCTCTACTCTCTCACATTTACCTATTTAAAATCCACTCGGTTGTCAATAGTAATTAAGGATATTTAATGAGGCATCGTGTTTAAATTTCCAATCATTACCCTAAGTGTTCTACTAATGAAACAAGCCCGTTATACATCTTTACATTTCATTATGAACCAAAGCAATTTGAAAATGCAGTGTCATAACAGATGGCAAATGGGATGTCATTACTTTTAGTCCAAATTGTGCCAAAAAATAATACTGTCTAATAAAAGACAAAAAGGGTAATTGACTGTACCTTCGCTACGTTTCCCACTGGCTAATCAGGGCAATATGCAAATTAACCACCAATAAAGATGGTGGCCAGCAGCCATGCAACTGAAGCAAGCAGGAGGCTTGCTTGCTCTAGTGATGGAGGAAGCCAAGGTTCCCCGCCTTCTGCAGCCCGGCTCTGAGCTCCAAAAGCAATAAAGTTTCAATTATAGAAGCTAAACAAACCCCAGATACCTGCTTTCAGCAGGCCGTGGCCTCAGAGCTGGAGCGAGCAAGAGCCGGCCCTCAGCTCCAGTGACGGCAACAAAGTTTCAATTATAGAAGGTAAATAAATCCCAGAATTTAAGAAAAAAAAACAT